CTGTGGTGGAAAGCTGAAGGAATAGTAGTTACAACTGAGAATTTTTGATAGTGCGTCCTCCTTTGCCCATTATGGCGTGGGCTACTTGCGCGGTGTTGTGTACATGCATCAAGCTTGAAGAGCGAGTGTAATTTTTATGATGCAGGGAACATATTGATGAAGAAAAGGAACTTGCCAAGTGGTTCGACGGTTAATGACGTTCTGTTTGTTAGGTCAAACAAGGACTTGAGCAAATCATGAAAGTAGATGGACTTTGGAATCCAACTTGGAGGGACAAGTTCCTATCAAGCTCCACTGGGAAGTTTCTATAGCTTAATGACACAGTGTTGCTTGTGCTAATAACTTTGTTCTTATCGTTATTTTTATGAATGCAATGAATGCATTGATGGTTAATTCTTGAGCAATTGCATTTTAAATATCCATTTGTTTTATTTTGTGATGTCACGGTCCAATGTCATATTACGTGTAAATGTTAGGTTGAGCATGGGAGGGTGAAACGCAAATTAGGTGCTGGGCGCGAGCGGGTAATGATTTTCTTGTGGGTCTGGGTGGGTCCGGATGAAGGCTTTCTACGGGTGGAAGGCAAGTTGGGCACAAGGGCGATATTTCGAAAAAAACTTGGGTGGGCTGGATTATCTTAAGATTTTTTTTTGTTTTGTTTTGAGGGCGGGTGATACTTGGAAAGGTTTGAGCGCGTTGGGTGAAGTGGCAATTAAAAAAGAGAAGATCATCTCTGTTGTTCAATGACAGATTCCAATCCCACACAATCAGTTTTTCCACCATGGGGGTATGGGAAATGAGGTTCTTATAGAACCTAGTACGCTCAGTTACTTCCGTAGGGGCATATACTGTCATCAACCCTCACTCCGATTGCCCTACTTCGATCTTCATCCAGGCCCGTCTCCCCCAAATGTCGGCCTCTGTTTCTATCACCTTCGCTTGCAAGTCCCTATGCAGCAGTATTTGGGGTGGGGACCCACACTTGTGGGCCATCCCACATGGTCCCTAGGGCCGCTAGCTTTGCCGCAGATAGCTTGGTCTCCTGCACAATCAGGCAATGGGTTGTCGATTTGTGCGTTCATAATTTCATTCGTTTGTTTAACCCTTCCTGTTGCATCTCCCATGCCTCGCACGTTCCAAGTTCCTTGCCTTAGTTTATCCATTTGAAGGTTTTCCTTCCGCTTGTCCTTGGATTTGGGATGCTTCCTCCAATGGACATGTGAACAATACCACTTGTTCTGCTTTTTCAGCTTCCTCTGGAAGAGTTAATTTTTGAGTATTCTCTCCATTCCCTTCGCAACATTTGTGCCATGTGCTCCGAGTGCAGTTCGTATCCTTCTGGAAGCTTCTCTTGTATTCTCAGCAACATCTCTACTGAAATGTATGAAATTATGGCTATACTCTCCAACTCGTGTAAATTACATTCTTGAACTCCATCTGCCCCGAGTCGTCTACTTCCTGCTTGGGTACGGCTATCTGCCACCTCGGGTGCAATGCGTACGTCTAAGATCGAAAGTTTGACTTAGGCCTTGGCATACGGCGCTGGTCATCGTGTGCCATGTGCTCCGATTGCAGTTCTTCTCCTTTCGGAAGCTTCTCTTGTACTTTCAGCAACACTTTTATAGAAAATGTATGAAATTGTGGCTATACTCTCCAACTCGTGTAAATTACATTCTTGAACCCCATCTGCCCCGACTCATCTAATTCCTGCATGGGTCAGGCTATCTGCCACCTCAGGTGCGATGCGTGCATCTAAGATCGGGAAGTACAACTTATATGAGCTTTGTTGGTCTTGGCATACGATGCTGGTCATTGTGGATCAAGGTCCAATGTGCACAGGGACATTCTCTTCATACATCGCCCTCGTTTTCGACATCATCACTAAAGGCGTTGGACAACTGTCAACTACCTGACCACCTCTTCGGGTTTCCACGAGTTTTCACCACCAGGGCAAATGCCCTCGTCTTAGCATTTTCCTATTGACTCTATCAATAATGCTTCTCTCCTCACGCCTATCTTGGTTGTCTTCTCTTTCTCCCATGTGTGCCGGGATGTATGGTCGACTTCCACTTGATCTTCTTGGTTCTCAGCGCTGCTCCATCTTTGTTGTTGATGTCAAGTCCTAACCTGGTCACTGAAGAAGAATGCCTTGATCAAGGTTTTCCTCACGCAGAGCACGTAATTCCTACCCTACCGCCTATCCTATCGTTCATCGTAGGACTACCCCTCGGGTACGTGCTAAGTGAATTTGCCTTCGACCTACGATATAAGGCGAGCAGTTCCCCCTCCGTTCCTGGCCGCGATGGTGAGATTGACAGTGGAGTGGTGTCATGTTCGTAGGCATGCGACGACGCTGGAGCTGGAACGCTACTGCCACCCGCCGGTAGTACCGACGCTCCCCCCAGTATGCCTGCATTTGGTAGTTGCATGTATCTGGCCAAACTCATGTTTTTTTTCGAGTATTTTCAAGTGGGGTGAAACGAAACCCTAACCTTCCACATTACGATGGCGGTCAGCCTGCTCGGTAAGAGCGAGCTCCTGGATTCTCTTGCATGTATCTGGCCATATTTATCATCACAGTTTTGCGGAAGAGTTGTACCGCGAGTATGGGCCTGGGCGCACTCCTTACAAAACGAGGAATTTGACGAATGAATGATAGGTGATACGAATGCTATCATGAATAGCAGATGATGTACTTTCCCACCTTCCGTGTGTAGATGCGCTTGCCATTTTCTCATTTCATTCCTGCTGCTGGTTTCGTTCGATCGCACAGGGGAAACCGCACACCATCGGCCGATCACTCTGCTCGGACTCAGCAGACAGACAGAGTCACGCTCATCTAGACAGAAGGCCCTTTTCACCAAGGGTGCAGATAATCTTTTTGGCAGGGAAGAGTGCATATGGGGGGGATTTGGCGGTGAAGCACTTAGGTTGCGGTGAGGCCAGCGCGATCGCAAGACGGTGTGTTGCTGTGTTGCTCAATACAAATTTTAATATGCACGCTAACCGTGTGCGGGAAGGGTCATCAGCGATAGTGTGGTGAAGCTGGCGGCCCTATACGCCTAGCCGCATATACAGAGGGTAGTCTCGTTCATCCCGAGCATCGATCTCAAGGCTCTCTATCCGCTTTCTTCTCGCCGGTTTGTTTCTCTTCTACCTCCACCCTCCCGGTGATCTGTACGCGGTCTGTCTGCTCCCTGTCCTTCTTCTCGAATATTTTGTCATTCTTGCGTTTCTTCGTTTTTCTACTCTCTTCGTTTTCCTATCGCTCTCGCACTGCTGCAGGCTGTGGTCAGAGCGGTGTCTTTATCAACTTTTCTCCTTGTGATGTGTGAGTGAGCTTTTTATTTGGTGTGTTGGATTGTGAAATGAACCAAGTTGTTAAGTTCAACTTGCATACAACAGTGAATATCCACATGAGAGTTCACACATGAGCAGCCAAAACGAGATACAATCCACACTCGAAGATGTCGTCACCAATATTATTGCCAATATACAAGAATGTTTGTCACCAGCGGCTCTGCCGCACACACACACACAGTGAGTCTCAACCAAGTAGCGGCTATGGCTTCCCTACTTCTCTCTCGTCTCTCTCTCCTCTCTCTCTCTCTCTCTCTCTCTCTCTCTCTCTCTCTCTCTCTCTCTCTCTCTTGCCGGGCCGCCCGGGTCCCGGGTGGCCAGCCCGTACAAGGACCAGAGAAGGTCCCAGCCAAAAGAAAAAAAATCCAAAAAATCCGGCAAAAAAAAAATGTTATGCAGAAAAATAAACTGAACAACGTTTGCCTCAGGGTCGCATCGAAATTCTTTACCAAATTCAAAATAAAAAATAAAATGAAATAAATATTATTTTTATTTTTATTTTTAATTTTTTTTTGGCCCAGCCGGTCAAGTGAACCCGGGCCACTCTGGTAGCCTAGGTAGTAACTTGCAAGAGGACTTTTTTTTCTTCTTCTAATGTTTACTCCTGTCTAAGTCTTTTACTACGCGGTAGGGGGTATGTCAAATGACGAACGCAGAGGCTGGGTACCTTGGAGTGTCTTCCGGATGCGTTAAGATTTGGCCTGCCTCCCCGATATAGATAGGAGGTTTTTATTTCCTTGTTTTTCTCTTCTTCTTGTCTCTAAAGAACTCGGTTCTAATGCTTGGCGGGGATAAGTAACTGAACTGGTGGCCCCCAAAATACATGGGGCTGTGTACTTCTTCTTCTTCTTCTTCTTCTTCTTCTTCTTTTTGTTGTTTTTGTTTTTTAATTCCTCGGCATCGTAAAATCATTTGCACCTGGTTGTCGGTGGTGAACCCTCAGCAATTTGATAAAGCTCAGTGTTTTTTTTTCTTTTTTAATTTTATTTTATGTTCTTGTAGAAACATGCAGACATACTCCCTGCTTTTGAGGACATTGATTTAACGCTGTATGATTTGACTTTTCTCATTCCATGTTCATCAATATTTGAAGGCCATGAAAAGTGGGAGAGCATGGAGGAGGAGCGGATCAGAAACCCGAGAAAAGCTGGTCGTGGGAGCCTTTGGCTCGAGTTAAAAGAAAGAAAGGCTGAGGGGCGAAGGCTGGTCGTGGGAGCCTTTGTCACGCATGTGTGTTTGATTGTGATGCTATCATGATCTCGTACCGCGCACATGAACTAACCTGGAGACAACGTACCGGGTATTAGTGAGCGTGTTTTCGACTATCAACACTGTTTGTCAACACGATTTGTCAACAGTTGTGGACTATTGTGATCACGGACTACTGATTAGTCAGTCGTGGGGGATTGTGTGTTGGAAAGGGAAGTATATGAGGTGCTTGAAGACATTACGGGAGCGGTTCTTCGGATTGGACATAAGCCTTACCGGAGCTGCGGACGAGACACTGGACGATGCCAAGTAACGAGCAACATGAACGCACAGGAAATTCGGGTGGAGGCGGCGATCGTCGACCATATCATCAGCCCACGTGTTTTAACTGCCACGAGCCGGGACACTATGCAAACCAGTGTCCGCATCGGGAACATCGGCAGTTTACAAGTCGCCCGTCGACTTCATCCGACTTAAGAAGGTCACGATCGCCGAGAAGAATGGAGTATAGGCGGCATTATTCTCCGCCTGGAGTTGATAAGGAAGTGAGGTCACAGATCGCGGAGCTTAATAAGGGCTTCGCATCGATTAAGCAATTCCACGACGTTGAGCAGGCAAGGAAGGAGGAAAAAGCTCGGAGGAAACTCGAGAAGGAGGAAGCAAGGAGACGTGAAGCAGAAGAAGCCAAAAAGCGGGCCGCAGAGGAAGCGAAGCGTGAGGCTAAACAACAAAACAAGAGAGAAAAGGCGCGTAAGGAAACCGAGTTGCGCGCTGAGATGAGGAAGGACATGTCACTGCAATGTGCCATCATGCTGAGCGAAATGAAGGATAATTGGGTGGAAGAATGGACGCAACTGCTCTACCAGCGGTCAAAGCACTGGACACCAAGGGGAAGAAGAAGGTCCATTATGAAGTTGAGGAGGTGGTCTCGGATTCAAGCGGTGATGGCAGCGAAACCAGCGTCACCCAGGAATTGAGTGAAAAGACCGGGAAGCTTTTCATCTCGGAGAAGAGGAAGCGTGAAGCCGATGTTGTCTTTGAGGATAGCCCGCCAATGGAGGCCTGTCCTAAGCGTACGCCGAAACGTGGATCGATGAAACCGGTGGATCTTAGCATGCGGATGACTCGATCAAAGACTGCCAAGAAGACCGGGAGGACACCGATTCCCGCTAAGAAGAAGACTCCAGTGAAAACGCCTTTATCGAAGATCGTGAAGTCTGCGAGGAGGAAGACTCCACAAAGCCGATCGACTCCAGATGCGAGCGGAGCTTTGGCTCGTTTACAGTACCGAGACGCTGTCATGAAGGAACTTAAGGATTTGGAGGCTCCTGAGCTGCAGAAGATCCGCCCAGACGAGGGCCTTCACTATGATAAGAAGATCGAGGCTATATTTGACATCGCGGAGCATCGGACCCAGATTGCATTTGACAAGGCTACGGTGGATGAAGCGGAAGTCATTCGTATTGCTGACTCCGACAATACCGAGGAGGTAAACCAACCTGAGGATGAGATTGTGTGAAGAGGGTTCGAAGCGACCCATCTTTGGAAGCTGTGTCGTTATCTTACTAGTCTGCGTTGCAGTTCTAATTCCATTTCTAAACGGGTTGATAATGTACTCCGAGTGGTGATCATCCTACTGACGCTTTTAGACCAGATCAAGTGGACACGTAGATATGTGAATGCCTGGTTGAATTTGTATCGAAGGCATGGCGTGGAGTTTATTGAACTGAGTTGCGTAGTGTATGTCGCTGTGTCACCCTACTGTAAGAGAGCACTTGCATACCTTTCGTACTCAGTCGCATTTTCATCCTTGGCTTGCGTCATTCGGCTTCGGAAACTATGTCCTGATTCCCGTCTATGTACTCGTTGGAAAAGATTTGGTGAAACTTGAAGAACTTTACATTAGCCGTTGGTCGCCATTCTTGAATATATCGGGGATTGCGAAACGAGAACACAGGGTAAGAGGAAGGTTCCGGGGAAGAATGAACGTGCTAGGGTAGCCGGTAAGGGAATTGGGGGCAGTCGCCCGATTGTACCTATCCGCTTCCGTCGCGCCAATAGGCAAGTCTGGGATGTTGACTTTCACAAGCTCTTTGATGAGGTATTGAACAATAACAACGGTAGTTCGAGTCGAGAGTGGTAACACTTGGTGCCCCAAGTGGAAGAAGTTGGTCAAACCATTTGGGAAAAGTAAGATAAGATAAGATATGACTCACGAGTTCTATGTCTCGAGGAGTGTAAGAGCTTGATCGAAGCTGGCGGCATTTTCGAGGTGACCCACGTCTGTAAATGGAGTTCGAAATGTAAGTTCTTGAAACACGTTTTGATCGGGATCCTACGGAATCCTAGGAAACTATCCGATCTGTACAGGTGGAGTATACGATCATTTTTGCGGATATATCGAGTGTTCAAGGACTTCTCACGGAAGTCAACAAGAAAATACCTACGTAGACTGTTAGGCCGCTGCTTCCGGGATCATTTCGGCTTAAGTTTGTCCGCTGATCTTGTTTTTCGGGTGAAATTTGATGACCGCATTAAGGTTTCGGAATTTCGGAAGATTGCCAATGATGTGTTAATGTCATGTAACCTGCCTCGCTGTTTTTTGTTGCGTGCGCGTAGGAAAATCCGGATTGTCTGGACTAAGAATCAGTCAGTTTCGGAGATTTTGCACAATCATCGTAGTTATGCAACATGAAATGTGCTCACCTGTACGTGTACAGGCATGTCATTTCCGCGCGTTGATGGTCATGTGCATTTTCGTCTCGGTGATTTGGATGGCGTACACCCATTGTTGACGAATTCGAAGAACATACCTTGTGTCGAGGTGGGTAACCATGCGTTGCAACTAAAAGAGGAGTTGGCCGCAGGCTTCAAGGGCTGGGTCAACCTCACGGGCAAATGCCCTGACCTTTCTGCATTTTCGTTATCTGCATGCGTGTCTTCGTTTTCTGTGTCTTCGTTTTCTGAGTCCGCCAATACTCTGTCTTTGGATCTAGTTCTTGATCTTAAGTACAGATTGACTGGTTTGGTTATCTCTGCTGTTGATAGGAATCCGGGCGAGACTGTGGTGATGTGTCCAGCCATCTATTATGTTTATGTTATCTACGTTTGTTTGCAACTCAGGTTATCGAGTGATGACCATACCCGAGAATCAAATCTTGAGGGAAATCCGTGAGGACGCTGACTCCAAGACTTTGTCCAAATTTGTAAAGTGGGACGTCAATGGGCATTTTGGCTCTGCTTACGTAATACCGAAACATAAGGATACCGATCGGTATCGTCCTATATGTCCTTCTTTCAGTGAGCCCATGATGCGAACTGGACGACTTGTGGCTAAGGGATTGAATTATCTATCGAGTATGCTACCTAAACTGGCATTTCAATTTACATTCAGTTTCAGATCTGAAGGGTCGTTTGTGTGGCATTAATAAGAAATTTCTCAGTTTGGGGAGTGATCGAAGGGTTACTACATATTCCTTTGATATTAAGGATATGTTTAGTGAACTCCCTCACACTGACATCCTTCGGGCCATCGATTGGGTATTCGAATACCATTCGAGTAAGCATCGTGAGTTCGTGCGGGTAAACCCCCGTGGCAAGGGAGTTAGTTTTGGACTAACCACTGGGGGTGATCACTGGCGAAGGCTTGACCTTCGGGACATTATGGAGTTTGTTCAGTTGGAAATCAATCACGCGTATTTCTTTGCCACTGGGGTATTGATGAAACAGGAACTGGGAATCCCCATGGGGAAAAGTACAAGTCCCCCCCCATTGCTTCCATCATGTGCGCGTATTCTGAATACGTGCTGAGATGCACGCTTGGAAAAGCTAATAGGTATATGACGGCTGTTCGACTCATCGACGACGTGGCTCTTGCCATCTCGGTCAAAGAAAGGAGGTTGCATGATTTTATCCTTGATGCCTTCCTTTCCTGTTATCCAAGCAATTTGTCGTTGAAACGCACTGATAACGGTACTGGCACATTTGAATTTTTTGGATGCCAGATTAGAACGGTGCAGTCGTATCCGTTTCTGGGTGGCATTCAAATGTCGAGGAACGAAGACTGTATTGGGTCTGAGCAGGGACCCCGGACCGGTGGTGAAGAACGGACAGTCATACTATTCCTAGAACAGTAAAATGCATAAGAGTGCCATCATCGGAAGTCACCTTCACAGGATTGATCGGAATACTTCCATCCGGTCAGAGATTCCAGGGAGGGTGCTGAATCTGCAGCAGGAGTTGGCTTTGAAGGATTTCCCGAAGTGGTTCTTTCAACGAGTTCTGAAACATTTTGCCGTTCGACGGGATACAGTCTGGCAATACGCTGTCCAAATTGTCTGCGGACACGTTACCAACTGGATGATCTGAGTCGTTCATCACCCATGAGGGAACTTTGTCATTCATGCATGCGGCAGTCTTTTGTATTTTTTGTGATTGTTTACTTGATGAAGGATTCGGACAGGGTGTGGTGACGTAGGACTAGAGTTTCGTGTGCTGTAATAAGGGTAGTCTGATTGAGTTGCTAAGGTTGGTACCCCCTGTTGGCACCTTTCGGGCCTCTTTTGGACCAGGACTGTTTTTTTTCCCAGTACCTAACCGACGCACTTAGTGTTTTGACACTTCTGGACTGTACCTATTGTTAGCGTATGGACTATAAATAGATAGACAGACGGTTGTTTCATCCTCTCAGGTCCTGCGTTCGGCAAGCGACGAGTAGGATAGCGCCGATGTTAGGATGCTAGCTGGTACGACGGGGGGTTCTGGGTGTGAGGACGGAAGGTGGTACCTGACGAACGATGTTTCGACCTTGCTCAATCTACGTCAGCGCAGATTACTGCGTCTGACTTACATTTTTGAAGTGTATTTGTCACGCATGTGTGTTTGATTGTGATGCTATCATGATCATGATAAGCCTTACTTCGAGAAATTGTACCACTACTAGACTTCATATTGTCTTCTTCCCCCGAATACAACGTACGGTCATTCTCGCTGTATCTAGACTGAAAGATGCCTCAAATACAGCTATAATGACCGTACAATGCGTACATTGGTATTCGGGTGAAGAAGGTAGTCACTATTCCCGAAGAACATGTTTTGAACAGCAGCAAACTGGAAAACTATGCCCGGGCATTGGAATTGTGCTCGAATACAACACATGCAGGTGTCCTATTCGGGAGGGTGTTCTGTCCAAAAAACAAATCGCTCAAATCCAGAAAAAGCTCCTTAAACAGGCCACATTCCTCCCCCCCCCCCCCCCCCCCCCCCAATTCAAAGACAATGCTTGAGGACGAAGGTAGCCCAACTGGCAAAGAACATTTTAAGAAATATGACTGGAATGGTCTGTGCAATCGAAGATAAATAAAAATGAGAGGCCCGGAGCAGGTACTCTCACCTACTCACCTACGCGATGATCCCCCCCTTCTTAACAACTCACTCTATGTTGAAGTCGGCAAACGACTCTGACCATTGATTGAACTTACATGGACGGTGACGACCATTCATTCATTCATTCATTCATTCATTGTTTTTTTTTGATACCGGATTTGCTGTCGAGTAAGTAAACTGATAGTTCGGGATCGGTGCTGATTGACGATGATGCCCTCTTGACAATGCCCTCACTTCCCTGCTCCTGCTCACTGCACAACTGACGTCAACAGTCTACGGCAGCTATCCTATCCGACATGTTCAAGCCTTCGAGGTGACAAGGACACTTTTGAAAAAAAAAAAAAAAAAAAAAAAAAAAAAAAAAAAAA